CATATTTCCAGCCAGCAAAACACGGCTGGGCCCTCTGCAGGGGCTGCCTCCATGCTGTGTCCTCAAGGATGATGGGACTGGCCAACGCCTGCAGCTGGAGTCCCTGGGGCTGCTCAAAGAACAGCAGTATCTGCACAGAGCTCAAGAAAGGGGGAACTATTCACCCAAGAGGAGCGAGCAAAGAGCTCCCAGGAGGAAAGAAAGTTTGTAATCAAAACATATGCTGCTCTTGGGCCGGCCCGTGGCTCACTCGGTAGAGTGCGGTGCTAATAACACCAAGGCCCCGGGTTCGGATCCCACATAGGGATGGCCGGTTCGCTCACTGGCTGAGCGTGGTGCTGACAACACAAGTCAAGGGTTAAGATCCCCTTACCAGTCATCTTTTAAAAAAAAAAAAAACAAAAAAAACCCAAAAAAAAACATATGCTGCTCTTATTCCTGCCACTGCAAAACCAACATTTAGTGTTCACCAGAGATTGTGCTTTCTGAAGGGCTCACTGCTGAGACGGGCAAAACGAGGTTGTTGGCATCGGTTATGGGGAGGACGGAGGCCAACGTGCGGGATGGAAGAGTCAAACCAAAAGCGGAAGAAAAAACTTCCACCAAGCTTAATCGTGTGTGATGTGATTATTTTTATGCATTTATGTAAAATCATGTGTATATCTATAAAGAGTACATGGGCTCTAGAAGCAGACAGAACTTAGGTTGGAATTTTAGGTTCAGCACTTTCTAGCCTGTATGACCTCCCGACCCTCAGTTTCCTCATCTATAAAATGTGGACAATTATAGTATCTCATCAGTATGTCTTGAGGATTCAGTGAGTTAACATAGCACAGTGTCAGGCATGTAGTAAGAAAGTAATAAATGTTAGCTAATATTGTCAATCATTGACAGGAAACAAAAACCTAAAGGCTAAGGTGGGGGTGGGTGAGGGTGAATGGAGTTTTTAATGCTCCAGAAAGCCTGGCCTCCTCTTGTTCCAGTCATGCTGAAATCACACCTCTCTGCCTCTCTCTCTCACTCTCTCTGTCCCCACGCCTTGGTTCCTGCTGTCCTTCTTGGGACACTTCTCCATTTGCCTAAGAGGCAAATTCCTCCCCATCTTTCAAGGTCCATCTTCCTGGAGGCTTTCTCGGGTTCCTACCTCCCAGATAGAAAGGATCCCTCTTTCCCGGTGCCCCCCACAGCCTGCCACGCACTGCGGTATGGCAGTACCACATGGCAGACACCACTCCTTGCGTTCCTGCCTATTGCTGAGCCAACTGTGAGTTCGCTGAGGACAGAGATCATGTCTTATACTTCTTGGTCGTAGCAGCTCCTGGCACATAAGAGGTGGTCGAGAAGCGATGCTGAATGGAATAAAAACAGAGGGCGATTGCTCTAAGAGGACGATGGCCACTGTTCTCCACTGCAAGCCAAACCAGGATGGAAATGGACTAAACTGCAACATGGGGAACTTCATTCAGACACGAAGAATTCCGCTGGTGAGAGCGTCAGGTCAAATTCCCGTGGGACAGTGTGGATTTCTTTGAAGGGTCTTTAGAAGGGAATACTTTTTCTGTTTGGGGTGATTCTGATGTGATTTTTCTTGAAGGCAGGCCCCCAGCTTGGTATGAGGTTCATAATACAACCCACAGGTAACCCAGACGACAGCGAAGGGTGTTTGGCTCTTGGTCAGCCGGTGTCCCGATGGTTTTTTGTGCTGAGCACCAGCTGAGGAGGCGGGGAAAGATCGTGGCTGTGTGTGCCCGAGGGCGGGCGGGAAGTCATGCTCCAACAAGCCTGAATCCCAGCACGTGAGCAAATGCGGTACATTGCCAAGGGCCACGCAGTTACCCTGTGTTGAAGTACCCAAGTCTGATGACACCCATTTCTTTCAACCATAACCATGGAGTCAAACAGGAAGGAGGAACAGCCGCCTACAGCAGTGCTTGTCCCGCTCTTTTAATCCTGGCCAGCCCACCCACGTGCCGAGGCGCCCGCTGTGCCAGCCCTGGGCTGGGTGCTCAGCGAGAGGGATGAACAAGACCTCGGCTCTGTTCTTAGTGAGCTGTTCATCAATGGCAAGGCAGGCCTCAAACCCTTTATGACGAATAATGAATGAACCACAAGCAGAAGTGCTATGCAGGCGAAACACGGTGTCATAGGAGAAAGGGTGGGAAAGGGCAGGCGGCGATCCTTTACTGACACCCCCTCATGCTGATTAACACAGGCGAGGCAAGCATTATTATCCCATTTCTTTTTCACAGATGAAGGCTCAGAAAAGGCTCATTATTAAGCCAGTTAATAATTCAAAAAATATCTTTCCAATAATCTCCCCACATGCAAAAAATACATCCAGCTACAATGTCAGAACAAATATTTTAACTTTGGCGTGGAGACAAGACTTGGAGGGTAAGATGTGATTTGGTACTTAAAGAAAGGACCCATGAATTCAAGTCTTCACTAATTTGCTGGTTGGCCTTGGGAAGGCCTGTTAGCTACCCGGGTTTTAGCTAATAGGGGCTGCGGCCGGCCTCACCGTGTCAATTCCATAAGAGACTTGATAGATACACAGTGTGACAGGAGCTGCTAAGTGCTGCGGGATACAGCAGGCCTTGGTTTTGATCATTTCAACTTAAAACCTTCCTGCTTTGGTCCCCCCTGTCTGATGCTGATTGAATAATGCAGGGTGGCATTCTGAAAGATGTGCCCCTGGTACAGGCAAGCCCCTCCTTTACAGCAGGTTATCTGATGCTGTCCCATGCGAGGAGCCTCACCGGCCCTGAGCAGTTACCATATTGGTTGAAGCCTGCCTTGGCTGCTGTGCTGGCCAAAGTCAGCCAGTACTGACTAACGCAGCACAATTAGTTGCAGCTTAGCTTAGTGCTATTAAAAGCAGGGCAAGCCAATGACATTGACACATTACGGTAGGAGAGACGTGTGGTATCTGAGTGGAGGTTGAGAAAGTACTGAGAATAGAAATTAGAGCCATGACTTAAGCCTCAAGAGAGCAAGCATGTTTGGGGTCTGAGAAAATCTCTCATCACACCAGTGTCGTACATTTACCTAATTTCGTGTCAATCAGGTTTATTTCTAACCAAGTTGCTCTTACGCCTATTCATGCAGCCAGAACTAACAAGTGAAAACCACCAAACCACAGGATGTGAGTTTGAGCTCTGCTTTGAGCGGCTGCTAAAAGCAAAATGAAAGTGAAAATCTTTTATTTTAGGAAGACATGAAGGTTGAAGTGATGAGAAGCCTGTTGGAAAGGCCAAGGTCATAGGTGACACACAAACACACACCACATATTTCGTTCTCTCCACGATGGTATCAGATATATATGTGTGCCTCACCTAGGTACTGAATGGTTCTACACATGTTGAGTCTTCAGGTGCTGGGAGAGTTTTCCACAGGAGGCTGTGAACTCGGTGAGGACAGCAGGTGATGTGAGGCTGTTGTTCACAGGGGTAAACCAGTGCCTGAACGTGGCAAATGAGGATAACATAGGCAGCTCACATGTGTCCCACCCATTCGAATAGCCACCCGCTTATGAGGGGGTCTTCTCCCCCAGGGCAAGAATCTGAAGGCAGAAGCCTCACCCTCAATCCCCAGAGTCCTGGCTCCCCCATGTCCCCTCCTTCTGAGCACATTAGCAAGCCCTTTGAGCTTGCAACAGAAGCTGGGAGCTCATTGTAAACCTGGGTCCCATGTTGCAACTCAGAACATACCCAGAAGGGATATGATGAACGAGAAGACTCAGCGAAGACTCACAGGCATGTTCCAGGTTCTAGAGAACTGTGTGGTGGGACTACTTGTGTTCTGACTCTTTGATCATTCCATACTGTGTGCATGAAGTTTCAGAAAGGAGTAGTTGACTAGAAAATTAAATTTAGGAAGAATAAAACAATACATATTCTACAAGATGAAGTTAGAAATGTTAAGTGGACTCTTTGGTGCCTAATTGTTTGATATGACTGATTAGTCCCTTCTCAAGTGTACTAAAGTCCAACCTCTTCCTAAAGGGAAAGCAAAGCTTCTCAGAATTCATCAGAAATCAGGCCTGTGCAAAGGACATGAACAGACAAAAGAAGACATATAAATGGCCAATAGGCACATGAGAAAATGCTGAACATCACTAATCATCAGGGACATGCAAATCAAAATCACAGTGAGATATCATCTCATCTCAGATGAAATGGCTATTATCAAAAAGACAGAAAATAACAAATGCTGGCAAAGATGCAGGCAAAAGGGAACCCTCCTACATTCTTCGTGGGAATGTAAATACAACCATTTGGGAAAACAGTATGGAGGTTCCTCAAAAAACTAAAAACAGAACTACCTTTTGACCCAGAGATCCCACTACTGGGTATGTACCCAAAGGAAATGAAATCAACATATTGAAGAGACACCTGCACTCCCATGTTCACTGCAACACTATTCACAATAGTCAAGAAGTGGAATCTACCTAAATGCCCATCAATGGATGAATGGATAAAAAAACTGTGGTATATATACAAAATGTAATACTATTCAGCTATTAAAAAATAAAAATAAAAAAGAAATCCTGTCTTTTGCAGTAACATGGATGGACCTGGAGTCCACCATGTTAAGTAAGCCAGACACAGGACAAATACCACATGATCTCACTCATATGTAGACTCTAAAAAAACACAAATGGTTCTCATAGAAGTAGAGAGTAGAATAATAGTTACCAGAGGCCAGGATGGAAAGGGGTGTGGGGGAGGGAAAATGTGGATTAATGGGTACAAGTCACAGGTAGACAGGAAGAATAAGTCCTGGTGTTCAAGGCTGACTAGAGGTAATAATACTATACTGTATATTTCTAAATAGCTAGAAAAGAGGATCTTGACCATAATCACAAAGAAAAGATAAATGTTCAGGGGACAGATATGCTCTCTACCCTAAGTGAACCATTGTACAATATATGCATGTATTGAAACAACACACTGGACCCCACAAACATGTACAACAAAAAAAATGAGAAAGAAATCAGCTTGTGGTTATCACCAATAACTGCAGGAGCCTAGACTCCTGACCTTTTATTATGGTCTATATATGCTTATTTGAAGAAATACTATGTATCAAGTCAAAACTTTATCAGAAACTCAAGAAACAAACATACCGCCAAATGGAAGTCATTTATTTCAAAAATCATACTTCCACTCGTTTCATAGAGGTTGTCCCATAAACCAACCAAGCGTAAGAAAGCCAAGTTTCAGATGCCACTCAACAGAAATTGTATTTTTTTAGAGATATGTTTAATGACGCAGAAGCACATTTTTTAAAAAAGCTTGAACATGACAAAACTGTTTTTCTAATAATAGGGAAAAAATTCTATTCTAGCCACAAATTACTTTTTAATTACGAAATTGGATTCTATGCACCAGTCAATATTCAATACTGAAGTTTAAAACAGTGCATTATTTGTTTTTTAAAAGAAAACATTAAAGTGCCATTATATAAGTACTTCACTGACATTATATCACGCAGCACTTTACAGTCTACTCAAAGGTAGCCTAAATTATGAATTAAACATGCAAGTATTTTTTTTCCAAAATATGGACAAAAGGTCTTTTTGAGTGCTTTTGAACTTTAGCCTAGCATTAGCTACTAAGCATTTATGGGTTTGATCTTCTTCAACATGAGTTCTAATAAGTTAATAAGGAACATAGCTACAGACAGTAACCATTTGATAAATATGAACACAGTTTTAAAATGGCACTTAATTTACATCTTTGATCTTTTTGATAGGCAATCAACAGCCTCTCGTTCTCTGATTCTCAACCTCCAAATCTTAAAGGTTGTAAAGGCTCAACAGCTGTCAGCTCATGTGGGTCTCTAGATGAGTCTGTATCTTTACATATGTAAATATGTGCTGTACACACACACACACACACACACACACACTAATAAATATATACTTTAGAATCATCCAATGTGTCTTCACAGATACAAGGTTGATCCTGGCATCTGAATACCCAAGAAAACTGCTTGTAGGTGTCCATTTGGACAACTTTGTAGAAATGGTTGATGTAGAATGTGTGTAATGTCTCAACCCCTCAGGACTGCTCCAGATAACTCTGACATTTTGGTTATCAATACTCTGGTTCTCAATGACTACACTAAAGTGAATTTTGACATAATAGCAATTGCTCCTCTTACATGAGTCTAGGACTGTGCTAAGTCTTTGCTCTCTAAAGCATTCCACCTTTAAGGACATTTTCATTTTGTAATGTCCTGTAAAACTGTTGTAAAAATATTAGTTGTGAAATATTTCTGTGATAATGTTTTCTTCCCATTAAGAACAATACTATATTCACCCCTATTTTTAAAAAAATCTAAAATTTCTCAGTGTGGTACAACCTTCTCTTTCTCTCTGGTGCTGGCATTACTTTACATCCAATACTTTTTCTCCCAAGACTAGAGGGGCTTCCATTAGAAGCCCACATTTCAGCAAGGGCTGGCTCTGAATGACATTTGGATTCTCTGTGGCTTCTCCCTCTGCTTTGGGAAGCTCTTCAGTTAGACAAGTACTGTAGGTGGCAAGAGGAAGAAAGCTAATTATTATTTGTTGGAGTCTTGTCTCAGGCATGCTGTAGGATCGTGCAAGGTTCACTGCACTGCTGCTGTTGTCATGTTGATGCTACAATTACAAAGAGGTGGTTCAGCACCCAGCAGATCAGCGTGGCTGCCAAACACATCAGAGCATGATGAGATAAAATTTTTAAACACCAGCACAGGGTGTGTGAGAGGACACCCAGCTGACTCTGAAAGGATATGGGAGCAGGGTTGTTGAGGTAACTGATTATTGTCAAGTTTGCCGGAGATGATAGATAACTTCCTAGACAGAACACCTAGGACATTCCTCTTAAAGTCAGGTAGCTAAGAGGCTGTCTGGTTTCTTCAGCGCTGGCTACCTACTTGGGTGATATGGTTGCTCATAGAACATTTACTATTGGGGGAGATGATGGGTGCCACGGTGGCCACTGTTACCTGGGAGTCCCACATCTATCAAACTAGGTGGTCCAGACTTGCTTTTGGAAGCAGAAGCCAGAGGATAAAAAGTGCCAATAGGAAATTATGAATAGGTAATCAGGTTATTTTTAGCCTCTTCTGTCTTCCTGCCCCTGAATCATGCATGCTTTTGGAGCCTCTGTAGCCAAGACGGAGCTTTCAGGGTGACTGGGGTTGTCATTTTCAGGAGACACACACTCAGTTGACAGAAGGAATTCCCTTTGAGCTACAGGCATGGCACACACAACTCTGGAGTCCTGGCCAAGTATCTGAAACGACCTTGTCACTAGCATGCCTCTGTCCTGCTATGCCAGCCTGCTGATACTTGACTGCTTATTTTCTCTATTTGCCTCTCTGCCCCGAATTTTAAAAGTTTGGTCTGAAATAAGAAAACACATATTGGCTGTAGAAATACTAAAAACACCAAGCTAAAAACTAGCTCCAATTCTTTTTTTTTTTTTTTTTTTTTTTTTGTCTTTTGTCTTTTTTCCGTGTCCGGCAACGGATTGCAACCCTTAGTGTTGCCCCGGTACCGGGCCGGGGACCGGCAAAGGGATCGCAAACCCCGGTGCGCCTGCTGATACTTGACTGCTTATTTTCTCTATTTGCCTCTCTGCCCCGAATTTTAAAAGTTTGGTCTGAAATAAGAAAACACATATTGGCTGTAGAAATACTAAAAACACCAAGCTAAAAACTAGCTCCAATTCTAAGATACCAAGGAAGGCTTCACTAAACAGGATCCATCCCTATATATTTATTTTGAAAAACAGGAGAGAACATCATCAGTCTTGAGCAAGTCAGGATTTTACTTGCCTTGGGGCAGGGATTTGGACCTATCTTCTTATGCCACAGCATTCTTTAGCCATGGAATTCTGTGAGTAATATGCAGGAGGAGAGACTGATCTTAATACCCCCAGAAGATTCAGGCAATGGCTAATTGATCCCACGTCCTTACAAAGGAACCTTGAGGCTCCCAGAAAAGCTGAGGGACCTGGTCAATGGTCTTCCACTCTGATATCCCATGCATTCCTCCGTCCTAAAGTTCCCTATTCAAGCAGAGAGAGTTGCGGGGAGTGGGGGACATCAATAGAGGAGAGAGTAAAACCTACTTTTAGTCTTCAAGTTCCTTCCTTCTTGTTGGCTTATATTCTGAAGTTTCTCCAGTTCTGTATCTAACGGGGAGGAAGGGCACCTAGCTGGGTAAAGGGAAACAGAGCCACCTGTCATAAGCCCAGCACGGCCACAGGGAAGCTGGGAAGGGTTCTACCTACAAGATACCCTTGGTAGCAGCTCTATTTCCCTCTGGCTTCAGATCAGGGCCAACTCAGGAGGGAGGGACATGCTTCCAAGTCATCGAGCTGGGGCCAAGTGTCTACAGTATGCTTCAGAAAGGAATCTCCCAAAGTAAGGACCTTAGACTTCTGTTCCCCTATATTAGCTCCAGTTAAGGTTACGATGGGGTACGTGACAACTGAAAATGTCAAACTTGTTAAAAGCATCATGTTGGGGTCTATGTGAAAACACAATGGTACGTGAGTGCACCCTGCCCCTCAGGCCATTTCCCAACTTGTTCCCAGATCCACAGGGAGCAGGTCTAGCCTGTTAGTATATTCCCTTTTTTTCTTGGGGTTCCAATGATAACTGTTTTGAGTCCTATTTTGGTCTTGTCCACTCTTAATTCTTGTTCCCTAATTCAAAGGTAGTGTCTCACTTGCTCCTGGGTGAGTTCCTGGATAACAGCTGTATGATCCTTGAACTGATAAACTGAATAGAGAATCACGATGAACCGCTATTAACTTTAAAGCCATCTTTAAATCTGTATGTAGATTATATCTAAATATATCTCTTGGAGTTTTTTTCCTTATTTGGGGTTATGGGGAATCCAGAGGTGAAAGAGCATAAACATGCTAAAAGAAAGGGGAAGCTGCAGCAGCACAGCACGGACTAAAGATCCAAAGAAGCCAGTTTTTTGTAGAACTTATAGACATGCAACATTTGCAAGGTAGCCTGGCCTCATTTATCAAGACTCAGAAGATGTGGAGAAAAGAAGGAAGTAAGGAGCAGAGTGATTGTCCCATCTCCTTTTGTCCTGATATCTTGGGGTACCAAGAAATACTCCTGAGAAGGAAAACTAAAAAAATCTAATCCCTGGTCCCACCCATTTAAATCCTGAGCTTCCTCTTACTACTAAGTAGGCATTCCTGAAAAACTCGTTGCCTGAAGACCTTCTTTCCATCTCCAAATCCAAAGCCCAAGGAATGCTTATACACACATGTGGATAAAGACTGAACACCATTGATGTGTCACACCCACCAACAGGAACCAACACAGAGCAACACATACGAACATCTTCTCTTTCCTCCAGGCCAGAGAGGGGACAATGACCTTGATGCTCTGCAACTCTGCCTCCTCTCTCTCCCTCTTAAACATACCTCTTCAGCAATCAAAGCCTAAATGCATGAAGCAACTAGCTTAAACATTATCAAATATAAAACTTTGCCATACAATATTTCCAATCACTCTATTTACAAGTTTATCTTAAAAAAAAAAAAAAAGTAAAAGATACAGTAATTAAACACAATTCAAGTTTTTCTTTTCTTCTTTAAAGTTCCTTAATGAGGAATTCCAGAAACAGGAAACACTCTCTAGAGAAATGTTGCCATCCACGGGGCTCCTGGGGAGCTTGACGGTCTCAGTTTGTGGTCTGTCTGCCCAGAGTCACTCTTGCAAGGACATTCACATGTGGAAGATACTTGTAACTCTATTCTTTGGAGGCCAAGTGAATTTGAAATGTCCAGGAGGAACTTCCCCGTTCAAGGCAGTCTTCCACAAGACCCAGCTCCCTTTGACCAGGAAATTCCCTTTATCGGAAGGTACCCATCCCACCCTTCATGCCCCAAACTTTTTGTTTCTTCCTGAATCACAAGGGTCTATGATATTAGTTTCATGCCTCAAAAGCCTGAGAAACAATTCCCTTTTTCTGAGTGGCAGTGAACATAGATGTCCTTTTAAACTATAGGCCATAGGGTTAGCCTGGGAATCATCCCTGAAAACCATAGGGCACCAGTGCTCAGCAGCTCAAAGCACTGCAAGGGGGCTGATCGGTGATGGGCTGGAGGTGGGACAGGGCACGAGTGGGGATGAGTGAATGGAACATGAGGGAACTAATCAAAGGGATGGTGTCACCCACTGGGAGGCAGCATCTTGGCCTCTAGAAAGCAAACACCACTTGCATGGAAAAACAGAAATATTAAGCCCGAATGTTGTTTAATCTCAAGAGGTTACTAGAGTTTGCTCCAAATATATCCTGATGTTGCTGAAATTCACCAGACAGGGAACAGTTCCCAGCTGTTGTCCTGTGTGCCCCATGTAGACTAATTCCTTGATCCTGTTCAGGTTGTTGGAAAACCATTCAAAAAATTACCAAAAAGGTGGTGGTGGTAGTGGGGGGCGGGGGTGTGTGGGGTGTGTGTGTGTCATGCAAAGAGAGAGTGTTATTTTTTTGGTTTGGTTTTAGACTAGGTTGGGTTGCCATGGTTACTAGGTGATGGCAGCCTTTGGTGGCAGAGAAGATCCTAGCTCAGGAGAGGGGAATGTGGGGGGTGTGTGTTCCCTTCCACGAGAGAACTGGGCTGAATTTTGCTGATGATGGGCCAACGGCTCCTTTAGAGATGGTGAGCGATTGGATCTTCTGCAAACAGTGCTGTAATCCCTCTCCATGCTGCATGCAAACAGACCCAGCTGCCCGCAGCACTGTGGGTCTCAAGTACTTACAGGTGGGGTAGAGAGGGTGTCTACTGTAAACAAAAGCAATGAACTGAGCCTGGATCTCGGTGCCAATTTCTCCACCCAGCCCTGACAGATTTAGCTATGCTGTGTGCTCTTGGGGACTACTTGCATCTTACTCTCTCTTTTAGAAGTTTGGGGCTTTGGATGACCGTTGAAACAAAACGAGTGCTCCCTATTTAGGGCACTCTGAGAAAACGGCTTTGCAAGCCTTTTTTTCGGGTATCAAAGTCAAATAGCCTCCTCTGCTGATTGATTTCTGTTTCTTGCAGTGTCGCCACACGTCAGCTGAGATGATCATGGAGATGGGGGACATAAGAGTTCACAGAAACATTTGTGTTGACAAGTAGCAACAGAGTCAGTCACCCTACATTTCTCAGTGGCAAAGGGAAATGGCCTACAACACTGGAATCAGCAGTTGTCATGGATACCATGCAGAGCTCAGCAGTTCTGCTGGGGCCCATGGTTAGAGGAACTCCACGTAGTTTTCGGGGATGAGGCCAGTCTTTCCGTTCAGAGTCCCCTCCAACCAGCCAGGCTCCTGAGATGGATGAACTGTACAAGAAGGGGGAGAGCAAGAAGAGATGATGTTACAGAAAGGGCAGGAGGTGGGTGTGTGGTTGTGTGGTGTGTGTGAAGGAAGTTTGGAGAATAAGTGTAATCACTTGCTAAGTTACCTAATTCTAGGACTTTAGAAACCAGAGCTTCTTAACCTTTTGAGGGATATAAGCCTTCTCAAGAAGGCTGTTCTGAACTTTTTTCAAAACAAAAAGGGAAACAGGTACACACATTCAAAATTTTGCATACAATTTTAGGGGTTTCGTGGACTTTCTAAAGTTCTTGGTTTAAACTATAAAGAAGTGACACGTTTCTACCTTTTAGGCTAGAGGTCAACAGTTGTGGTGCTCCATCCATATACGTATCCATCCATCCATCCACCCATGTACCCATCTACCTACCCAGTATCAATGACGTACCAACTGCAGTACCCACAGAGCACTGCTGAGAACTAGTTTTAATTATGCATTTGACTTTCCCTCAAATCCTTACCCACTGCTTCTAATTTCCTTGCAAATTCCGTTTTTTCCTTTCATTTTACAGCCTTTGAATAGCCCTCTCTGTTCCACCACACCCTTAGTTTTCTTTCCTATTCTCTAGAATATTCCTCTCTCCTATACACAAGTCTGAAAACTGTCCTCTTTTTTTCTTAAATTTATTTATTATTATTATTTACATTCTAAAATGTTGTTGCAGAGAAGTTAGAGGGGAGGAGGAGAGGGGTAGAGTAAGAGGAGGAGGAAGGGGGGGCATGATCAAGGCCCATGGCACCCTGTCTTCTTCCTCTATTGCAACTTTCAAAATTTCTGGCCCTTTGATTTTTCAATATCCGAAGAATATATATCCATTTCTGTGACATCACAATCCATCTCCGTGGAAACCATTGGGATATTATAAAGATTATATAAAATCCAGCTGAGTCTGCAAAGCTTCCTGCCAACCAATAGCAGGAAGGAAGGGAGAAGGAACCATGGGACTAAAAGGTGGGGGGTGTTCATGCTTGTTAATTCAAGACAGATCACTCCAGGGCAAGGCAGGGCATTTACTCTCAATGTTAGGAAAACTCCAATTCTTCGAGGTTGTTTGGAGAGAATGAATTTTCCCCTATTCCCTTCCTGGGCTAATTAAGCGACTTCCTGAGCTTGTTTTAGAAAAGCATTTCCATCCCGACACTACCATATACTTCTAGTTTCAATTTTTAGGGAAAGAAGCAAGAACAGAAACCAAAGGAAGCAAATGGGGAGGTAGCAAAAGGACAGGCTTGTAGAAGGTCAATGTCCAACTTGTCTAGACCTCGAATGCTTCCTTAGGAAAAGACAAGGTCATACATCTGTTAGTTGGTCTCCAATATGCTTATGCAATTCCATATCACTAGGCGACTCAATCAGTTTCCAACACTGCCACATTGGAGATCAAATTTCCACATGAGTTTTGGCAGGGACAACACATCCAAACTCCATCACCACACAAAGAAGAGTCTGGAAGAGAAGGGCCATGGAAGAACATGCACAACTTAAAAAAGCAACCTAACCTCTCCAATTGCCAAAGCTCTCCCAGCTGTCCCTGAAGAACACCCAAATGCCCCGGTCCTCTGCCCATCTATCTGGCTGAAGCTACCAAGATCACTTTAGTTTCTATACCTATAAAGTGGGGACAAAACGATCTCCCCTTCAATGGGTTCTTGTGAAGATTAAAGGAGCCAACACAGATAAAGCACTCCACACAGAATCAAGCACACAGTAAATGCTCACTCCAGGTTAGTCAGCAGGGGATCCTGCATCACTTGACCAGTCACTTGGACTGGTCAGCAAGACTCCCTCCTTGTAAAACCTGAGTAAGTGGGCGTAATGCCGCCACTGCTCCAGGGCCCTGCTGGGGCCCTGAGGTGTGGAACCAGGGGAAGCCAAACCCAGCTGCAACCCAGGTAAAGAGCACACCAAAAACACCGTTTTCACATGGGTAGCCCTCCATAGCCACCGCAATCGCTATGGCTATCACAAAAGCGCTAGTCTCTACAGCAGCAGTCACAGCCACCGTGCAGATGGCACACCAGATTCTCAACTGCACTGACACAAGGAGAGGCACCAGCAGAGACAAAAAGAAAAAGAAAGAAAGAAAGAAGAGGTCCTCTCTCTCCACAAAGCATATCTAGGCAACAAACCAACAGAGGAACAGTTAATCTATCACATGGAAAGAATGAACCTATGGTTATTGGGGAGGGGAGGGGGTAGGAGGGGAGGGGGTAGGGAGAGATTGGATAAAGAGCATAAAGAATAAGTATGATTTGTAACAAAGAATATCTAATAAAAAATAAACAAAAAAATCCTCCTGAGTAAAAACCACAGCAAGCTTACCACCTAAGCTTTAAGGAAACCTCAATGCTTAGAACCAAAATAAACAAATTAAAACTGTTCCCCAAAATAAGAGACCTGGAAAGAGTAAACCAACCAAACAAAATAAAAACAAAAAATCCCCCTCCCACTCTACAGCAGAGCTCCTAGTGGAGTTGACACTCCACCAGATGCTCCAAGTCCACCTTCTTTAGACATTTCTCTCTTCCTGGCCAGCTGTTCAAACACAGTGCAGGTACTGAGGCAGTAACATCTACAACATTAGAAGTGGAATCTGCAGACTAAGGGAAGAATCAGAGGGGACAAGGGAGGCCCTTCACATTGGAGACCAAGAAGCACGTCACAGGGGACAACAGGGGACAAAGCAGCCTTTGGGTCAGACTGCGGACTCACTGAAGTCTTCAAGTCAGGGTTTATTAAAGCACAGTATCAAACCATGTGCACCAGAATCACCTGGATACTTATTAAAACTGCAGATTCCTGGGCTCCACGGTAAATCGATTAAAGCAGAATCCCTGGGAGTGGGGCCCAGGAACCTGTATTTTAACTGGTTTCCAGAAAGTTAAGAGCTATGACTTTTCTGCCAAAATGCCTCTGTGATAAAGGTGGTGATAAGAACTAAAATGCACATGCTCACTAATGGAGGAGGAAGGCAGCATCCGATGCCCTCCTTCTTTCTGTTGTCTTCCGTTTCCTGTCCCTACACTTGACAGCTCAGCTGAAGCCCGCCCACTTCATAACTGTCATCACGGAATCCCTTCTACCTGCTGCCTCCTCCTTCCACACTCCTAAAATGCTCATAGTACATCCCACATAGTATTCATGGGTCCTGAAACATGCTGTACAAATGTGTAAAGCTTCGCTTCTCTAATTCTTTAGAACATTTTAGTTTGTATTACAGCACTCCCTGGCTAAACCTTCAATAACTCCCCTCTGCCTCATAAATTATGGCAATATAAGTTAAAACTTAGAAATGCTGACTATGAAGTTGCATATGCTTGGAGTTTTAAATATATTGATTCATTTGATCCTCATGATCCTAGCTTGACTACTGTTATCTCTATTTTACAGATAAGAAAATTAAGGCTCAGAGAGGTCAATTAATCCATGCAAGGTAACAATGGTAGAACCAGAATTTGAACCCAGCTTGTTTGACTCCAGAGACCAAGCCCTTTCCCACTGTATCATGCATGCCTCTAGGAGTATTCACCAGAGAATGTGATCCTTGAGGATAAGAATGATAATACATTTGTTGAGCACGTGCTAAGAGACAGACCCTTTGCTAATAAGCACTTCATCTATATCACCTCCTTTCATCTTCAGAGTGACTACAGGACGGTTCTATTATCCTCATTTTACTAATGAAAAACTGAGGCTCAGAGAGGTTAAGCAACTTGCCCCAAATTACCCAGCTGGTAGATGACGGAGATGGATCAGAGCCCACGACATCTGACCCCCGAGTCTGTGGTCTTAACCACTACTGCCTTTGCCCAGCCCTGAACATTGAAAATGCTCAGTTAAGTGCTTGTTGGGCTGAATTGTACCAGTCCGACACTCTGAATTACACCAGTGTCCAATGTGTTGCAACAAGCTGACTGGGCGGCTCTCCAGCCCTGCAGGTACATAATAAATATAAGCTGCTGCTGACATGGTGTGCTTCCTGCCAACCAATTTCTCTCAGCTACCTCTCTACATACACCGCACACCTCTGCATGCCCAACTCGTACTCAGTCCACTCGTTCACTTACTGTGGACAAGGAGCAAATATATGACTATGATCTCTAATGGCTGGCTACCCCAAGGGGTAAAAGCCCTGAGTGGAAGAGGCACAAACCTCTGTGCAGTTAAAATGCATTTACTCACTTCACAAGTGTTTACTGAGCACCTATTATGTGCCAGACACTGTGCTACGGCCTAGTACTAGTACAGAACAAGCAGACAAGATTCTGCTCTCAGGGAGGAACAATCTAGATGGGAGGGGGGAGAGGGGGAGTGAGGGGGAGAGAGAGAGAGAGGGAGAGGGGGAGCG